TTTTATGAATGAATACGTGGGTGCTGATTTCATCTAACTGATTTCAGTTTAGTCTGGCAGTCATAGAAAATGCAGAAGCCAGACAGCTCCCTGCAGAGGCCCAACTTCTGGACAAGACCATTTTATGCCTGGGAAGTTTATGCACAAACACTGCCTATCCCTCAGTTGCCACACCAAATCCATGCAGACAGGGCCTGCACACCCCTCTGGAAGATGGTGCTTCCTGTTGCTCCTCGTTCTGCACTTTTGTTCATGTGCCTGGGTGTAGATGAATGAGATTTATATCGTTTTAATAAATATTAATAACCATTTTAATCTTAGTAAACCTTTTATAAGAGAAATTCAGATCACTTCCCAGTTGTCTCAATCCCCTAAAAAGAGTGAAAAAATCACCTTGCAAAACTGTCCTAACCCTTCCAACCTTTTTGAACCCCATGTGGGCTTGGTCCATGTAACAAGAAACATATCTGGGAAAGAAGAAAACAGGTGTGAAGGATGGGCATCTGAATAGGCTGCACTCACCTCCTCACTTCCATTTTCAAATATGGTACTCCTGCCTCCAGTTCTAATTTATTTGCTGTAAGTGCTCTATTAGCTTTGTAGTGGATAGCCTTACACTACCATTTTGGTACAATTTGGGGACCAAAATGGCTTGGAATACATAATATTGTTGAGTTTGAAAAAAATTGGAGTGGAAAGTCGGGAGGAGAGAGAGAGAGACAGAGACAGAGACAAAGAGATGTTACAGGTTTGTGTCCAGAGATCTCTGAGTTACACTGGGTTTTCCTGATCCCATGATCCAAAGCTGGCTGAAGGTTGGGGTAGATCACAGTGTTAGACTTGAAAAAAACCAGTAAATTAGAAGGCTATAAAGCACATTTTAAGATCCCTTCTCACCTATAGGATTAGGATGAATGAGCTTCGCATTCATAAGCCATTAGAGCTGTAAGGTATCTCAGAGATCACATAGTTCAGACTTCTGATTTTACACACCAGAAAACTGAGAAACAGAGATGTGAAGTAATTTGTTCAAGGTTATCATCATCATAAACATCGGGCTATTTCCTCAGATATTTCTTAATTTTTTTTTCTTTTTCCTTCCTTTTTTTTTTTCCTTTCCCTCTTAGTTTTGTTATCAAGCACATGCCCTTGCCAGAGAGAGACACAGAAAAAAAGGGAGAGAATGTGAAAGATCACCCCTCTGGGGTAGGGATATGGCTGGGTAAGAATCCCAACTCTTAATACTCCTCTTAGGATTTTGGGCACACACACACACACATGCATCTGGAATGTCTTTCAAGCTGCTGGGTCCAGGACTCGAATTATGCAGTTGTCCATGTTGGATCTAGCCACTTTAACCACCAGCCTACTGGCTAGTCTCTCTTCTTACTTATTTACAACACATTTTGGATATCTACAGATTAAATTCTAATACAAAATACAACATTTTACTAAGGTTCATTTCTATATGTGTAGATTGTCATATACTGGTATCCTCTGCATTGTCTGTCTCAGCAGATGGAAACTCTAGGGCACTGACAATAACTAAGCATGAAATTGTCATGGTTATTCACCAGAATTACTAAAACCTTCCTGCTTTGAAATCCAAAATGTTAGTGTGCTGTTCTCAGGAGGACGGCTGTTTCCTCTGACCTAGCACTGATGTCCTGTGTTTATGGTTTATTTGTCTCAGAAAGAATTACCCTGTGGGGTTTAGCTGCATATGTATTTGCAAGATTGCTGGACAATGAGCTACACAAAGGGCTCTCACTGGCAAGGACCATGTGTTCTCATCATTATCTTCAAGGTTGTAGGACAAGCCCTGGCACGAAATAGTGACCTAACGTTTGTTGGGTGAGTGATATAAATGCACGAAAGGTGAAGACCTAGAAGCCATTTTTGTTAGTGAAACAATGTCATGAAAAGCTCATCATTATTGCTTATGGAATAACAGTGCAGACTTGTGGAAAGACAGGTCAGGCCCACTTGCACACATGACCAAACTCTAGACTGATGGCATTAAGACAGTCAAATACATTTCCAGAGTAAGACTATTCTATTCCAATTTACCAACCAGAAAAGAGCCTGTGGTCATGGAGGTGTCCTGCACTGGTATCATTTTTAAGAGGAAGAGTAGTGATATGAGGAAGTAAAGAGGCACCCTAAAAATTCCTTTATTAGTGTTGGAGGGAGAAGCATTGATCTATTTTAGGTTAAACTTGTGTCTTCCCAAGAGACATAAGTATTTTGATGATGATTCACTGTGAAAGCTCCAACCATAGATAATCTTTTGGAGTCTAATTGATTCATTCTTTTTTTTTTTTTTTTTGAGAGGTTTTTGGTATAGGGTGTGTGTGCTCACCAGACAGACAGACAGACAGATGGAGAGATGGAAAGCGAGAAATCACCCCCAGAGGGGATGGCCGTGTCACAATCCCTTCTCCTCCATTCTCCTCTTGGGATCTTGGGCACACACGTACACGCATCTGGTGTGAGTTTAAGCCACTGAGTCTGGGACTCAAACTGTGGTCGATTACATGGGAGTCCAGTGACATAGCCATTACACTAGCTGTTGGTCCCAATTCATTCTTTCTTATTCAAAATTTACTGGCTATTATGTACTAATAGATAAACCAAACCAAAACAAAACATGAAAAATATATTGGCCCTTGCCCTCAAGAAACCTACAGTCTTGAAGGAGAAGTGAAAACACACAAAGCTGGGGACCAGATGATAATGGAGTAGAAAAACTAAGTGCTCTCTCTGCAAGGCTAACCCACATGGGAAAGTTACAGGTTTCTGTCTGGAGATCTCCCACAGTACACTGGCTTTTCCTGAGCCTCTGATCCAAAGCTGGCTGAAGCTGGGGGTGGATCAAAGCGTTAGGATTTGTTGAGGTTGCACTCACTCTCTTTCTCTTTCTCTCTGTCATGGAAGAAATAATTATTTTTTTTAAAAAAAGAAAGAACACAGGTAAACACATAGTTATAATACAGCCAGGTTAAGATGACTGGTTATCAACTCAGACTCTCAGGAGTCAACTTCAAAAATTTACTACCTGTGTGACACTGAATTCCTTAACTTCTCAAAGCTTTGTGTTATCAAATATAAAATAGGAACAATGTCTTTCATGCAAAGTTCTTTGGCAGATTAAATTACATATTACACGTATATAAATGCTTAGCAGAATATGTGGTGGAGCCAGAAGATAGTGTGGTGATTAAGACTTCGGATTTCTACATGGCCAACTGCAGTCCTGGACACAGCAACTTGAAAATCACACTAGGCACATGAGTGTGCTTGTACAAAAATCCCAGGAGTAGAATGGAGAAGAAGGGATTGCGGCGTGGCCATCCCCCTGGGGGGGCAACTTTTTACTTTTCCTCTCACTGTCTTTGTCTCTCTCCAGTGAGAACATGAACTCAAAGGCAAAAACATTAGGGGGGGGGATAAAAGCATATGGTAAATATTCGAAAATCTTAGCTATCTATAGCTAATATAGCATATAAATTATGATAACAGTGGTTCTTACACTTCTACTAGAAATACATTAATAGAAATGTGAACAGAGGAAGGGCTTCTAACTAAAACAGGTTGGACAGTGGGCAGATAAAGGCCACCTTCCTGAAGACTCCTAAAGATGGGTATGAATCAGTAAGTAGATCGTATACAGGATGGCTGGAATTGGAATAGAGCATGACTGGTCTTATAGGTTGAGTTCAAAGGAATGGAAGCATATAAAAGTCTTAACTATTCAAGTCAAGACTTTTCTTCCAACCAATTGGCATGAATAACATGACCAAAGGCAAGAATGAAGCAGAGCAGATGTAGAAGGTGAATCATAAAGGGTCTTACTTTACTTTGAAGACCTTGCAGGTCTTTGATGAACTTGATTTAGGAGAATGACATAACAGGATTTTGAAAGGTGACCCTTGCTACTAAACTAGATGCAGAGATTCCAGGTAGGAGAATGTTACAGCAATGTAAATGAGAAATGATGAGACTCAAAACTAAGACAATAACAATGGGAACTAAACAAGTAAAGATTTGGAAGGTTTTTTTAAAAAGAAAGTGGTAGAACTTGCCAATGAACGGACCAAAGTAAGAAACTGTCAAGAATGACTGACAAACTTCTGGCTTGAGAAACTGGATGCATGGACAAGGAGGTGTAGTGGGTAAGATAATACTTTCAACTTGGGACAGGTTGAATTTGGAGTTCTTTATTTTTAAGTTTATTTAGTTGTTTTTTTTTTTTTCTTTTTCTATGAGACACACACACACACCAAGAGAAAGACAGAGACAGACACAGAGATACAGGTACTCCTAATAGGGTCTTTATGCCACGATCCACCCCCATCATCAGCCAACCAGGATCACATTTTGCAAACACTGAAGACTTGGGAACATGAACCTGGGACCTTTCCATGTGACTTCAGCATCACAGAGTGTTGACCTACTCCTGCATCACTGACTAGATTATTTTAAGTTTATTTCTAGAACTTTCAAGGTGAAATTTCTAGCAAGCATTTAGTTAGAAGGTCTGTCACTCAGGGGAAATAGACAATATTAAAAACCTGGAGAAGATCCAGGACATTTTTTGTGTTGAAAACATTTGATTTAAAGCCATGTACTGAATCCATTTTAGTTACTGTTGCTAAAGATAAGAACACTACCGAACAGAATATATGGTGCTTCTAGAAGATCAGCTTTCAATATTTTTAAAATAAATGACCCACTTTGATGAGTAGAATAATGATTACTAAGGTCTCTTACAACTCTAACGCTACGATTTCATTGTTCCAAAACACCGCTGGGAATCTCGAACTGCATTTTAATGATGACTCACCTGTAGCCTTAAATTTTCCTTTGTGAGTTTGTGGAATACACAGTATGAAAAAAAAATAATAAACCCATTATGTGTAAAACCATACAACCCCAAACAAGCAGTGATGATGCTTATAGAAAAAGAAAGACCAAAGAAAGACACTATCTACATTTACCTACTCTGATCCCAATTGGCTGCAAACAGAAGAAGAATCTTCCTGCCATAGTGGTCACGGTTTTCCAGCACCCCAGGGAATCCATCGATCAGAGCCCTTTTAATGCCGGGATCATCCGCCTTGAAGTTTTTGAACATGTCCAGGTTCAGCTGGCGGTACTGGAAGTACTGGGCCAGGAGTCTAAAGGCATCCGCTTGGTGAAACTTCCTGGCTCGGAGAAATCTTAGGATGAAGGCATCATCTGTACGTAAAAACCCCACATCCGGCCTGGTGATGATCATGTCTCTGACTTGCTGAATATCCTGATGTAAAACATCTGGGTTTTCATTCAGTTCCAGGCGTGCTTTCTCTATCGTCTCTGGACTGAGTCCAGCCTGTAAATGGGTCATGTTGGCCAAATCCCCTTTCCGAGTGCCTAATTTCTGACTTTTTGGAAAAAGAGAGACTGGTCCCATCCACCTAATGGTGTGCCTTGGCCCATTCAAGTTTTTTGACCACCAGATTGCCACTGGAGCAAAGAGAGGGTCTTCTTTCACATTCCGACACTACATGGTGGTGGCCATCCAAAAGAGAAGCAAAGCAGAGTCCATTGCTTACTGAAAAACAAATGCACACAAGAGAAACAAAACAGAGATGACACAAAGAAACTCTGAACAAGTCAATCAGAGCTTAGCTAAAAAAGCAGAAATAGGTACATAGGCTGTGAGTCTTGTTAGATTAGGTATGCGAGGAATAAATGGTAAATTATCTTGAAATGGGGTATTTAGTGTAAGTGTATTATTGACAACTTGAATGCATAGTATGAAAATACTTTAGACATATTTTGGAACTTTTTCATTCCAATGACTAACGTAATAATATATGGTCAGAGTGATGGAGTGCTCTTTTATTAATTGCCCTAAGAAACAATAAGAGGAGAGAAAGAGCTTTCTCTGTTACAGCATGCTTTATGGGACTATTCGCAGGCCTACAGATGGCAGAAAAATTATGGCTACTGTACAATTTATTGCTTCCCATTAGCTTCTTTTTCTCAAACATAAGAACTTTCACAGAAATAGCCCCTCCCCCACACTTTAAGGCAAGCATTTGCATCCTAACTATAAAAAAGATTGTCAAAGTCCACTCCATCCTAACCCCATAGGTACTTTATTACTCAGTGTCTTTCAGCAGTGAGTACATGAGGTGTCGCGGGGGAAGGACAGGCTTACAGATGGAAGCTTAACCTTCAATAATCAAATTTAACAGCAATGAGAAAGGAGGCTCGTGTGTGGACATTTACAAATGGCTTTATTTGCATTTGCCACCCTTCTGCAAGAAGGCAAAGGGATTTGGAACTCTTGGTTGACTCTCTACCTAACCCAATATCCATACAGATTTTAAAATCATTCCATTTTTATGTAACACTTTGGTTCTCTGGAGATCCTGTTTTATTTATGATAATGGTTGTTTTAATCCCCTTAAATGCACCCCTTATGAGTTCTCCGCCTAAGTGGTATATAGAGAAACATCTGTATTGCTTGCAACTTTCTTATTTTAAATAGAAATAGTTAAACTCTAACAGTCATTCATTTAGTTTACCTGGAAGTTCCAAAAATTAGAAGACTAGGGGAAAATAAACTTAGAAGTATGCATTTTTTCCTAGTTTTCTAGGTCAATAGTATTTTCAATAAGAGGCAGAATATTTACTTCCAATCTAATCATTATTTGTAATGCTTTATAATACAAAGTAACCTAAAAGACAAAATTATTCTTCTGCTTAGTTTAGAACTAAAAGCAATTTCTTAAAGACCTACTTACACATTTCTATTTTATATTGCCTTTGAGATATGAGGGAGATGAATGACACTCCGAACAACATAATTCATTTTCAAGGTAATAGAATAATAAAAATAATCGTATTTGTAAGAGGTTGGCTTTGTAAAATAATTTGTAAGAAAATAACACTTAGCTCTGTCATGTATGAAACAAGAACCAGAACCAACGCTTGCTTCTCACTGATTTTAAGGACAGATAATAGTAAAGGAAAATAGACTATGAACTAGTCTCAGGATTAGAAGAAACTTCAAAATCTGTCTAGTCCAATGCCTTTCTAATGTTAAAATTCTTTCTCCAATAGCCTTACCATACCCCTTCCAGAAGCGGCTTCATGCAGCGTCTCCCTCCTCCGATTCATTTCTACACCCACAGCAATCTATCTTTGACATGCTGCTGAAGCTGCTCTCACCAACCAGTGGCTGGGATGATGGTATAATTTATTATCCAAACTTAGGCTCTAAAGGGTACTAATAATAATGAAGCTGGAACAACAGGCCTAAACTGGGACAGTTCCAAGGAAACTCAGACAGATGGTCACCCGCCTAAGTGAATGACGTTCTTGCTGCTACAGCCAATAGACAAATTCCAGTACCAATTGTGGGTGACCTTTGTCTGCATTTGACATTGACTGCATTCTCCTTTAGACCATTCTCTCCCATAGTTCCTGGCACCCTGATTTTTCTCCTAGCTCTTTTGTGCCTTCTTGCTCCATCTTCTCTGTCCATGCTCACCACTCCAATGCTTGTGTTTGTCAGGATTCTACTCCATGATGTGGTCATCTATTGGGTTGTCACAAAAGTCATGAAGTATTTTTGCATAAAAAAAGTCATGACTTTTCTGACAACCCAATGTATTTGAATAACTTCAGTCTATTGCTCCTTCCTGATCTTCAGGACACACCTTCAACTGCCTACTGAGTATCTCCACTTAGATGTCCCACAGACACCACAAACTCAATATATTCCAAACTGAAGTAGTCCTAGTTTCTCCTCCATCTCTTAATGAATGACATCATCTTCCATCCAGTTTCCCACAGTAGACACCTAAGAGTCAACTATTATTCCACCCTCACCTTTCCCACTCAGGGCCAGACGACCACTTGTGTACATTTCTCAAATCTGCCCAACTCTCTCCATATCCATTATCACATAGCCATTGTTTAGAGCCTACCACCACTTGTCTATTAAGTCCTGCAATATTTTCTTTACTACCCAACCATTCTCTAAAATGTGTTGTAATTGAAATAGCCTCTTGTCACTTCTCAATTGACATCATCATAAGCTTCCCACTGTCCTAGGATAGTGTATAAAACTACGTAGCATGGCTTCCCAAACCCTTTATCACCTTGTCCCTATTTGTCTCTCCAGATTGACCACTTGATCATGTGGTCATCCTGAGCCACCTGCAGTTCTTTCTTGCCTCTGAGGGCCTTGATAGGATCTTCCTTCTCCCTAGAATGATAACCAGTTGATTCCTCTTTGCCCTTGAGGACTTAACCTCAAAATAATTTTCCCTGGGAACCATCTTCCCCCACAACCTTCAAAGGCCACAGTATCCCCTCAGCCCCCAACCAAATTTTATTGCCATTGTCCTTTCTTCCTCTTTACCTGGAACAATATATGGAGAAGGGCTGACTCTCATTCATCTGGGTATCCCTAGTACATTGCCAGGCACACGGAGGGCCAGTTTCATGAGCACAGTAACTTGTGTCCATGGCCATATCCTCAGTGCCTAGAACAGTGCCTGCCACAGAGTAGGTGCTCAAGAAATATATGTAGACCAAACGAGTAAGTAAAGTGGTCAAAATGTTGTCTGAATGTGTGACTAAGTGGCTTCTCTCTCTGTTCGGGTACCTTTAGGACAGTTTTTCTTTAAATGGAATGTTGCAGCCAACATTTAATTTCCTCCCTCATCTACAAAATAACCCTTACTCACCACTACCACCCCTCTCCCACCACCACCATCTAAGCCTTCCCCTGCTCCCCGCACCAAGAACTTAGGCCAGGCACACTGAACTGCAAGCCTCACCTCCCTGAAGCATGCTGGGTAATGTTCACAAATCCAAGCTGCCGAACAAGATGCCCAGAGCACAAGGCATAGCAACAGCTCATTCCCTACAGGAGATTTAAAGCTGCTTGGAACAAGTTACTTACCTTATAGTTCAGGGAACTCAACAATGTTTTTGAGATAAATTGCTTTGGGTTCAAGGGGAGAGTTGAGGTTGCATTTTTCATGACCTGCTTCCACACATAGCTATGGCTCCAATCTATACTATCTGACATAAATTTGCTTCAATCTACATCTTGATTCTGTGCTCAGCATATGGTAGAAGCTTCTGGGGGAAATACACAAATCAGGGTCACAAGGTTTCATACTTAGGATAAAACAGATATTTTTCATTGAAGATAAATCCTTTCTATTCATTCCACAGCCTGAGTAGCTTGCTAATTAAATAACTTCAACTACTACTATTTAAGGCACTAAAAAGTTATATAAAGAATGTTCACACACACTAAAAACAACAACAACAACAACACAATATTTTCATTGTGTTGTTGTTGTTGTTGGGACCAGAGGTCAGCCAATGGTATGGTGGCTGAGGTGGCTAGATCACACATAGCTGTGTGGTTCAAATCCCAGACCTGGCAACTTAGAAAACGTACTGGGCATGTGTCCATGCATGCCCAAAACCCCAAAAGCAGAATGAAGAAGGGATTAAGGTATGGCCATCCCCCCCTGGGGGGGTGCTTTTTCACTTTCCCTCTTTCTGTCTGGCACACGCATGTGCCGGATAACAAATTAAAAAAGAAAAAATAATAATAATGTTCACCAAGACATGACATTTTCAATATATTAAAATCTTTTATTCATGGGAAGAACTTGATTCTCACACAACATTTTGAATTATGGACCACTGGACTTGGTTATCACATGAATAAGTAGGAATGATTTCCTGTCCTGGTGGTATTGACAATAACAATAACAGCTGTGATTTATTATTTATTAAAGCTGAGTTTATTATGTCCCAGGCACTTACATAATCTTTTTATACATTATAGTGTTTAACCCATGGAACAATAGAAATGAATGTAGTATTATTATCCTTTTAAAGAAGGAAACAGAGGCACAAAGAGGTGAAACGACTTGTCTAAGCCAAGTATCTTTCTCTGAGCTCATGTTCTTTACCATTGTTCTATTTAGTTTTTTATTTGTAGCACAAATTTTAATATCTACAACTTCAGACCTAAGTGACCTTCCGCAAGTCATCTTGCCAATCAGAATTTTACTCTCCTTCTCTAAAATCCCTTCTAAATTTATTATTTGATGTATCTAAGTATGCCAATGAATAAACAGATTTTCTTAAGTAGCCAAATATTGTATTTTACAGATGCCCAGTGGCCATGTCATCCTCATTCTTCATTGGAAGATAACTGGAGTTGTTTAAAATCTAGCCATCCAGTTCCTTTCTAGTTAGCATTCAGTTTTGTGCTTCCTCTGCACCTTTTCCTTTAACAGAAGTGACAGGTCAAAGACCCCGACATTCTATTGGAAGGGTTGATACTCTCCCGTGCCTAGCAGAGTACTGAGCATGGTGTGGGCATTGAAATGTGCTTGATAACCAAAAAGGGCCCTTAAGGAAGATTCAGAAACCATCTCTCCCCATTGCTGGTGGGTCTCAGATGATGCTATGTTTAGAGACCACTTAAAATATATGGAGAGTAATCCATGAGCACTTTCTAGGGAGCATATCTTCTTTGGATCTATGCCTGTTTCAATGAAA